TCTTGTTTTTAAACTGGGGAGGTGAAGTTAAGAGGTGGTTCGGGTTCTTCTGTATATTTATGGTTTGTGTATAAGAAAACGTGATAAGAGATGCTTTCTGTGTGTTTTCGTGATAATATTTATATAGCAAGGGGAGGGAGGGAGGGAGGGAGGGACAGGGGGGTGAAAGGAAGCGGGGAAAGAGAGAAGAGAGAGAGAGAGAGAGAGAGAGAGAGAGAGAGAGAGAGAGAGAGAGAGAGAGAGAGAGCAGGGAGGGAAGCGTAACTACATATAGATAAACTGTATTGATGAACCTTAGATAAACAGCAAGAATAGCCGACACAAAAAACGCAGTCATAAGCGTAACATATCATCACAGACAAAACAGAACTTATATAAAACGTGAACTTCCATGGATATTTTTTTACATAACAAGGTTTTCAGGGAACATTAATGTAAACCTTATAATTATAATTTCGTTATTTTCAAAACAGATGTAATGAGTCCATTTTCTCGGCAAAATACATCTCCTTCTAATCTAGATTTATTATTTGAATGTTGTATGTACTTGACCCTGTATCAATTTAGTTTATCAAAATGTAAAAGTTTCTTTCCTTACCATTCTTTTATCATTATTCTCTCTAATCTTTTTCTTTTATTCATTCCACTTACTTTTCTTTCAAATATTTGTTTAACTTTTTCATTTCACGTATTATTTATATTTCTTAATCATTAGTACTTTTCTGTCTTCTTTATTTTTTAACGAGTTCGGTCTACCTCCTCATTTTCTATTTCATTTCACTCATTTTTCATTCTGGTTTCTTTACTCCCCATTCGTATTTCAACCTCTCTTCCTTCTTCCTTTCCCCTCTCCTCTCATCTCTGTTCCTCCTCCACTTTCAATCCTCTCCTTTTCCCACTTCCCCTTCTTCGCCCCTCCAATTCTTTTACTCCTCTCTCCTAATTTTCATTCTCCGCCTTTCTTCCACACCTCCTCCACGCCCCCCCCCTCCCCTCCCTCCCCGCCATGTCCGGCAGCTGGGATCACGTCAATACATCCTGTTGAGGTCTCCTTCGCTGGCTCCTTGGGTCTGGCCTGCACGTGTCTGAATGTGTATTTATATCATGTGTGTGTGCATATATATATAGTATGTTTATATATACACACACGTGTGTGTGTTGTGTGTGTGTGTGTGCATATATATATATTACATATATATATATTATATATATATATATATATATATATATATATATATATAATATATATATATATGTATGTATGTATGTATATGTATATTTATGGATATATATGTATATACTATATATATGCACATACACACACAAACTCAAAAACACATATATATATATATATATATATATATATATATATATATATATATATATGTATACATATATATATATGTGTGTGTTTTGTGTACATACATACATATGCACTACACACATACACACACACACACACACACACACACACACACACACACACACACACACACACACACACACACACACACACACACACACATATATATATTATATATTATATAATATATATATACATATATACATATACATATATAAACATATGTGTGTATTTAAACACGCACACAAAATACATACACATAAATGTTATCCAAACAGAATATTCCCCACACATTCGGTATATATTTGCACAGACCCACGTGCTAAAGAAGTCTGCGTGAGGTCAGAGGTCATGATGGTTTGAATGTGTAAACTCAAGGCACGACACGTTACTCCCTGTGGCCCATCATTAAGGTAATTACTTGCCCTCACCTGCCCCAATACCCCCCCTCCCTCTTTCCCTCCTCCCTCCTCCATGCCCTCACCTGCCCCTAAGACCCCCTTCCTCCCCGCCCCTCTTCCTCCTCCTCCTCCTCCTCCTCCCCCTCCTTCGCCAACCGTCTTCTTGTCCCTAAGCAACGGACTGCCAACTACGAGAGCTAACATGGATAAATGGCTACACGTCTATTATTTCACTCTATGACACGGAGGAGGTCTCAAACACGTGTATGCACACAGATTAACAGGAAATAGACGGATGAATGAATGTATCAATAAGTTATACATTATCCATGCTTGTATATTGTTTATCAAGTAAGCATATAAAAACTTGGGTCTAGATCTGCTGTTTCTTACTAAAATTGTAAGATCCTAAAACCTCTAAGCTGCTGTCAGTTCTAGTAACGTTAGGAATCTTCTCTGCTGCGGTGGTTGTGTAACGAAGATTTTCAATTTTGTAATAATTAAAAAATATACTGTTTATTTTTTTGCTGAAAGTCAACTATAAAATCCAACATATCAGAGAGAGAGATGAGAGAGAGAGAGAGAGAGAGAGAGAGAGAGAGAGAGAGAGAGAGAGAGAGAGAGAGAGAGAGAGAGAGAGAGAGAGAGAGAGAGAGAGAGAGAGAGATGAGTAAAATCAATTTGGATAACACTTATAAAATTACCATAAACACCCATGGAATTAAACAGTTCTTCCCGCAGAATTAGACAGATAAGGTATATTGACAGCATTACGTCTACACTCCTTGCGAATCATAAAATCAATAATCAAATGTTGACCTCGTACGAAATAGACCCCCTTTTATCTCCCAAACTCAAGAGAAACTGACATTGATCCCAGTCGAAATTTTCAAAATACTAATATTTTTGTATTCTGACGTTACTTTTTCCCGTGTAACTTTCTATAGGCCGATTTCGCACGTCGGTTAGTTATATTATGGGAATATCTTTAAACATCGCCCATATGCTGTTTGACTGGCAGATGTACGTTTGATAATGAGGAAACATTAAGGGGTATTTAGGCTAAAGGTTCCGAGGCATTTGCAGATGCTGAAATTGAGTGGTTCAATGAACGAGAAGGGAGGGAATCTCAAGTTTTAGTTTTTTGAGTGCATGTCTCAAAGATGAAATCCTTGAGTCTCTTTTTATGGATTTTTGGGATGGAGAAAGGGAAAAAGAAGAAAAAAGAAAACCACAACAAAAAGGTATGTTTTCCTCTCCTTATGGAAGGTTTAGTAGCGTGGTTTTATAAGGATTAGGGAGACGTTAAGCTCTCTTTCCCTCTCTCGCAGGACGCCCCTTTGAGCAGATGTTCAGTGAGATCTGAGGAGGAGGCAGATGCGGCACGTGCGGAGGAAACGATTATGAGTCACGGATGGGCATGGCTCCTTCCCGCTCCCGTCCATACCCATCAAGGTCCTATTAAGTCTTATTGCTCCCCATGAGACCCAAACCATCCGTTTTCGCCATTCCCCAAACGCCAAACCGCTTCGTGCTTTCCAGGAGGCAGCTCCACTCTCTTCGCCACCGTCCTCGCGGGGAAAAAATATAAAAAAAGATCCATTAGTAGAGCGGCGGGCAAATGTTTCACGTGCCGTATGACCCAGTGCGGTGGCCGGCGTCCCTTTAACGGGGTGCGGCCGTCGCCTTGACAATGGTTCCTTCCTTTCGCTCTAACGGACGTCGCATCCTCAGCGTGCGGTTTTATCCTGCGTACGTGCACTCAAATGAGAGGACTTCCGTTCCATTGAGTGGCATTTGCGATGTTCTTGGTTGCAGTGCTGAGTTCTCGATGGAGATGATGTCAACAGCGCCTTCTTCTATTTTGTCTCTAGTTCTTCTTTGGCGAGGTGGAGAACACCTGGTGTCAGGCGTACCAACTGAACGCGAAGGACCGTGCTTTTGTCAACAACGTTTATTCTTTTAATTTTCAAGAATTCGTTCATCTCTCCATCTATCTATCTAGATACGTGTATATATAAATATATATATATATATGTATGTGTGTATGTATATATATATATATATATAATATATATATATATATATATAGAGAGAGAGAGAGAGAGAGAGAGAGAGAGAGAGAGAGAGAAGAGAGAAGAGAGAGAGAGAGAGAGAGAGAGGAGAGAGAGAGAGAGAGAGAGAGAGAGGGGGGAGGAGGAGAGAGAGAGAGAGAGAGGAGGAGGAGAGGAAAGAGAGAGAGAGAGATGCAATATTATAACACGCACACGCACAAATACACACGCACAAGCACAACACGCACAAGCACGCACACGCACAAACACACACATAAGATATATATACACATATAAATATATACATATATATATTTAATATTTATATTTATATAATATATATATATAAATATATAATATGATGTGTGTGTGTATGTGTGTGTGTGTTGTGTGTGTATAATGTATATATATATATATATATATATATATATTATATATATTATATATATATATATAATATATATATATATATATATATATATATATATATATATATATATATATATATATATTTATACGGTATCTCCTACATGTTCTTTAATTTTATTACATGTTTATGTAATATGTTCCTCAGACGTATATATTTAAAGAGACAAGTCATAACTACTGATTCTAATAAGATTCTCAAGAAACCATAATAGAATTTTGATATTCTTTATCAATTTAAAAGTTCATACTCTTAAAACTGGAATAGAGTATATACTAGACCGTTTAATAAGATACTGAAAGCGAAAGGAGACAGGAAAAATAAATTCGCAGAAACAGAGAGAGAGAGAGAGAGAGAGAGAGAGAGAGAGAGAGAGAGAGAGAGAGAGAGAGAGAGAGAGAGAGAGAGAGAGAGAGAGAGAGAGAGAGAGAGAGAGAGAGAGAGAGAGAGAGACAGAGACAGAGACAGAGAGAGAGACAGAGACAGAGACAGAGAGAGAGAGAGAGAGAGAGAGAGAGAGAGAGAGAGAGAGAGAGAGAGAGAGAGGCAGGCAGGCAGACAGAAAGATAGAATTCCCCAAGCCTAAAAACAAGAACAAAACAAATAAACCTAAACTCCTAAGAAAAGCCTAAATCCAAACAAAAAAAAACGGGAGATGAGAAGCGAGGACCCTTATCCTCTGCCTCGTCCTTCCATCCATCCAGGCGCGGTTGGCAGCCCTGCGCCCCATCCTGCTGCCCCGTGAAGAGGTTCCAACGGCTGTGATGGCGTGATGGCGGGCAGTTCAGATGAAGGAGACACTCGGGGAGACTACTTCCGTCCTCTCCCTCGCACGGATGGAAGAACTGTGACCCCCAAAATGCCCACTTTTACCTATTTCGACGCCGGCTTTTTGCTGGTGTCTATGGCGACGTTCGCGGTGGATGTTGGGACAGGTGGGCAACCCGCACATGAGATTTAATTTTTTTTAACGTAGTTTTCGTGTTTTGGTGTGAATTTGATAGTGTTTTCTTGCTCCTCGAAGGTTTTCACAAAGTGTTGTTTGTGTGTGGTGTTCTGGTATTCTCGAGGTTTTATAAAGTGTGGGGTTTTGATTGTGGAATTTGTGTGATTTCTTTTTCATATCGGGGACAAACATTTTTTTTCGTAATTTAATGAACTTTTTTTACGTGTTTTGGTCATGTGATTTTTTCCAATTGAAAGTTATACATGTGCTCGAATGTTTGTGCAATGTTGGACATCTATTAAAGCTTGTGATATTGAAAAAAACAAGTGTTATTAGGTAGGTAGGCCTAGGTAAGTACTACAAAGGAAACTTGAAATTATCAAATGGAAATTGGAGTATTTATCTAAAGAAGTTGAAATGGTGAAATGTCACTACATTATCTTAACTGACAGTGCTTTATTTGAAACTGAATAGTTTAATTTCTCACAAAGTACTCCCTGACTTTAGAACATGTACTGTAATTACCTGCATATACCAGTTTTAAGTACAGTATATAACAAGAGAAAAATGTAATTTAGAAGATTGTCAGTCTTTTTCAAAATTAGATTGAAATTGAAATAAGAGAAATACAAAGTGAGTCCATTTGAGATATTTGATAAACTGAAAATTCTAAACCAGTTGTTGAAAATTTGTGAAATGAGTGTGACATTCCCCAGAAAATTAATTATTAATTTTTATTATTATTAACTTGTTAATAAATGTTTTCAAGACATTTGTCCACCACTGGCACTTTCCCTGATTGCTCCAACTTCCCCAACTGCTATTGCTTCGGCAAGCACTACCACAGATAATCAAGTCCAGGTAGAGCTTGTAAACGTCCCTAGTGATTTACCATAAAAAAAAAAAAAAAAATCCAAGCTCTATCTTTCCAAAATGTATTGGGTGTTTTGTTGCCCTTCGACTGCAGGAAGTGCAAGAGTGGCAGCAATTGTGTGCACAGCACAGCAATGGATTGTACGTCTTCCATCAGAGGCCACAAGTTTTTATAAAATGCAGTTCATATCATTATGAGAAAGGGATTGCTTTCTAATAGAGACTGTATTTTGTAAAGCTTTTATATTATATATTTATTATTATTATTATTATTCATAGTTTTGTGCTTTTACTTTCAAGGAAGCCACTTGCAGTAATATGGGATATAGATTTAGATCAAAGAAGGTTAGAGTAGTACTAATATAGTTATTATATTGATGCATTAAGGATATGGCATATTTATATGTATATTAATATATGAATATATATTTGAATGCATTTACATATTTGTACGTATTGATATGTATACATGTAATTAAATATATATTTTAAAAATTCCATTGATATACGAAAAATGTGAGAATTATTTTTCAAAACTAAACTAATGTTCCTTAAAAAATCAATTTCATTTGAAAATTGTGTTGTCTTTTATCAGTGGTGTTGATTAAATATAAAGAGTTCCTGTTTATTTATTATTCCTTCTATGGATGCTGGAAATTTTGCAAATAATGATTTACAATATTAGAGTCACAAATTTATTTAAGTTTAGTCTGGGCACAGTGATGTAAATATGACAAGTGTTACCAACTACATTGATTATCTTTGACTCATGTAGTCATTTAATATGTCTTATTTTTCCAGATTTAAACTTAGTAATAAGATACTTCCTCGAGGGTTCGGTAATATGGGCTGGCCTCACCCTGGCATTGGTGCTGGTGCCAGCTGTTGTGGTAATGATCATGTCCATGAAGTGGCACTATGTTGAGGCTGAGGCTGAGGCCGAGTACGCTGCAAACGAGGCTGAACAAACCTCTGACAGTGAGAAGAAACCAGTGAAGACCCCCTCTGTCTCCAAGTTATGCTGGCTTGCTCACATCTGCCTTTGGGGTATTTTGCACAGGTAAGGCAGGATTTTTTGTCTGGTTAGGGGTTTGGTTTTCTTGAGGGGATCTTGATTTTCTTTTCTGAGACTGAGATAGTTTTAAGTTAACTCATTCTCATTAATACACTATTTTGTTTAGATAATTATCAAAGATTGAATATAGGTCCTATTGTCTGTATACACATATGAAATGTTTATTATCATAATCTTTCCCCTTTAGGTACATTCTCCTGTTTAAGTCTGGCATAAGAGCACAGAGAACCAAAGACACTGAAGACTTCAGAGACATGTACCGGCAGCAGAGTGATGTGTGCATGTTGCGTCTGTTTGAATCCTTCCTGGAATCGGCACCACAGCTCGTCCTGCAGCTATATATCATGATGTCGCACCATGA